CATGCGTCAGCGGCTGATCTTGGGTTCAAAGTGGCTGCAAAAGGCCACTACACCTCCACCATCTCTGATGCCGCCATCGACCGTCGGCCTCAGGTGGAAACCAACACTTACCTCAACCTTCCACCCACCCCTCAGGAAACCGTTGAGGCTGTGTGGCAACTCTCCAGTGGGAAAGCACCCAGATCCGATAGATCCCTGTCAAGATCTTCAAATACTGCGGCCACCAACTTATATCCCATCTAATCGAGCTCTTCCAGGAGATGTGGCGATAAGGCCAAGCCCCCCCCCAGAACTTCAAGAGCGCCACAATTATCCACCTCTACAAGCTATGTGGAGAACCACCAAGTCTGTGACAATCATCGCGCAATTTCACTGCTCAATATGACCGGCAAAATCTTTGCTCGCATTCATCTAAACCGTCTCAACAACCACCGGAACGAGGAATCCCACCAGAAAGCCAATGTGATTTTCCTCGCCATCGCGGGACCACCCGACATGGACTTCTCCGCACGGCAGCTGCAAGAGAATTGCCGGGAGATACGCACCTATACCTATACTACCTTCCTGGACCTGACGAAAGCATTTGGCACGGTGAATCGCGTTGAATTGTAGAAAGTCAGGCAGACATTTTGCTGTCCTGAGCACTTCACCGACGTGGTACCTCAGCTCCCCGATGGGATGATGGCGTCAGTCACGGACAACAGGCTGATTTCCGAAGCCTCCGAAATGACCAACGGAATGACGCAGGGCTGTTTCCTCGCGTGTACCCACCTCAGTCTCATGTTCTCTGTCATGCTGATGGTTGCCTACCGTGGAGAGTGTCCAGGGATCCGCATCAACTGCAGAACGGACGGAAATCTTCTCAACATCCGACGTATGCAGGCCCCCACGCACGTCTCCACAACCATAGCTCATGACCGGCTGTTCGCGGACAGCTGCGTTCTCAACGCCAAAACAGAAGCAAACACGCAAAGGAGTACGAACCTGTTAGCCCTCGGTTGCACAAACTTCTGTCTTACCGTCAACACGGATAAAACGGTGGTC